CTTGCTCTGCTTTCTAACCCTCGACGAAAGTCAATTTATTTTAGAGGCCTGCAAATGGTCTACGAATATAGCATGTTTTTGGCCATCAAATTTCCCAATCAGTAAGTGCACAGCAGGTCATTTGTAACAAAATAATCTGAGGCTGGAGGACATTTTTTTAGGAATATCTGAAAATAATCTACATTCTGTTGAGGTCGCCGCTTGTATCAGCCAGTTAAACTCCCCATCAATATCAAAGAAGTAGTAGTACTTACCCAGCGAGCATCAATCTCCTCTTCTAAAGTGTGCAATTGACACTTTCAATTCAAGATTACAGACGTTGCGATTGTAATTAAGTGTGTAAAAATTAGGCCTCTAGAGAAAAAATTCTGACACAAGCTTTTTGGAGTATGCATTTCGCCCATTTTCGAAGGCTGACGAGCATCATTCTATTTCCTGTCAAAATTGTTCCAAACAACCCTTAAGTCAAGATTACGCATTGAAAGGTTTGTGAAGTTACTTCGTATTTTTCCCGTGCTTTACGTTTTCCTTTTCTACATAGCGTTATTGCAAAGGCTTGAATGAAGTCACCGTATCAGCTTTCATAGTATGTAGAAATAAAATTTTGCGATAGCTTTATTTTGCGAGTAAGCGTCTTTTTGCGGGGAGATATCTTTTTTTGATTTTCGATCTCTTTGCGTCTTTTTGTTGTTGTTGTAGTTGTTTTTTATGTCCAAGAAGTAGAAAATTGGGAATGAAGGAAACGTGATCTTAAATTTTAAAGCTCAAACGCTTTCTGCATCAGAGTCATTTCAGTGAAATGTTTGAAATGAGTTAAGTAACTACCATACTTTATTGCCTAAAAGCAAAGAGAAACAACAACAAAATCAAACAAAAAGCCTACCCTAATATACATCCCTTCCATACCGAGTTTTTTGAGAGAGAAATTTGTTTATAAGACTGAAGATAGCAAATTTTTTGCGCTTAATTCTTTTTTCGGTGAAGAGGGTCTTTTTTTGGCAGATAGTTTTTGGAAAGTCAACTAAATCCACCAAAATAACACAATGCTCAAATTTCCCGCTACAAATGAATCTCTCAGCACAGAGAATCTCGCCAGTGGATTAAACTGGTCTTTATTTTGTCCAATAAAGAAGGGAGAGGGGTTAAACGCGAACGGTTGGTGAGTCCCTGCATCTCTATCTCGTACGCTTTTTCAAGCTGCCTCAGATGTTTCTGACTTGATCGTAACGCTCGCTCCAGCCAAAGTCTCTGAGAAGAGTCTCCTTGAGCAATTCGCATTTGGTACACGTCGAACCGAGTAACGACGCATACTTTACAAATAGCTCTGAAGCTTTTTGGCGCAAGTTCTCTTATTCTCTTAAATGACTAAAATGTTTCACGAGCACTTGGTGTGCTTTGTGCTGCTTTTTCTTGGCTTCCGTTTCACTAACGGGCTTCCTCTTCACACACTCATGGCCGTTGGCGACTTCTGGCAATTTTCGGGCTATTTTAGAGGATGAACTGGTTATGTACCCCGTGTAAGGACTGCTAACAAAGAGCGGTATTAGCCCCTGGTCCCAGCACACGAAGTACTTGTCACCGCTCACCCGTCCCCCAGCGCATTCATTAGCATGTGGTCGCGTCCCCCAGCGCATTCATTAGCATGTGGTCGTGCCCCCCTTGTAGGAAACACGATACAATCAATACAAGCTTCCTTTCCATGAGTAATCTTCAACACACGAACATCTTCCACATGGTAAGAAGGCATTCGCATTACCAGAACAAACTCAGCAAATGAGAAGCCATTTTTCTCCGCCTCGTGGAGCGTCGGTTGGAAGAAACATTTACCATGCTTCAGCTGACCGTACGGATCACTCACCCCATAGACAACGCGAGAGTCTGGGATCAAAACTCTAAAATCTTTGACTTCATCACTTCTTGTGCTGGGAACATCTAACAAAGTGTCTGTCGTTGTGATATCACACAGAGGTCCACCGATCTACTTTGCGGTTTTTCTCTTCTAACAGATCATTATTGCCTTGCTCTTCATTTTCGCTGACTATTTTACAGTGTTTCATGTTTTCAATTTGTTTTATCGTCAGGTTTTGCAACTCACGCACAACACTGTGCGACAGTCCTTCTTTCTCAATGGTTTGTAACAACTCGTCTTTTCCCGTTATACGCAAGAAGTAACTGGCGTATGTCTTGTCTTCCAACCTCTCGAGAAATTCATGATTTCCCTGAAGTGTCTCCAGATATTCATGAGAGACACTGCCTTCGGTGAACAGTATCACCGTCGGTGTGTCCAAATAGCCCAGTGAGTACGGCTGCGAGAAACATCACGATACCAAACGTTTTCCAACTTCTCATAACGTTTTGACGGGAGGAAATGTCCGACCTGGAATTTCTAAAGAGCGCTTTTACCTTGAGGTTTGCCACATCGTTGAAACGAACCAGAGTCCCTCTAAAACCTTTGAATTTAACTTCAACTACGCTAGGCGCACATGGAAGGTTGCATAGGGTTTTCACATCCTGAGAGAGTGTACACGACATAAGACCACACCCATCCGTGAACACATATGTACTTAATATGCTTGTTACGTCATCGATGACGCCCTGGTTTTAGTTCCAAACTACGCTGGAAAGGTAAGAAGGGGAGGGCTATCTTTTGAGATCGTTTTGCCATCGGGAAGATGTCATTGAAGTTTTCGAATTTTTCCAACAAACCGTGCAAGTCAGTCAGCGAAGCATTCATCACGTAGCAAGTACTGTGTCTAAGCTGGGAGCTCTATTGTCCTAAGTAATAATACTGTGAACCGTTGCACTCAATTCCTTTCTTAAGAGTCTCGATTATGAAGTTTTTGTCGTTTGAAGAAAAGGTGACCACCATCAGCTGCTCGAGAACTTCAAGACCTCGTGTGCTCACCAACCAGTGCACTAAAAGGGAATTTTTGACTTTCTTGTATGAAGCGAAACTTGGATTCATCTAAGGTACATATTTGTTTCAAACTGAAATGTAGGCACGAAATGTCTCGTTGCAATGATAACTAGAAACAAATGTAAAAGAGTGCTAAATTTGGGAACTTTTGTTGCATTCTCTCCAGCTACGAAGCTTCAATCGATGGTAACGAGCTTTTGCCATGAATCCTGAACATGTTGTCGTATTGACAAGACTCTGACAGAGGAGTCATAAACTGGACACTTGGCCATAGATAATAGTAATTTCTAAATGTAGTCTGGGGACTCCCCCGAATTTGGGTTTCTGTTTATATACTTTATAGAAAGCTGAGAGGAATTGATTCGCTGCGTCGGTCTCGTTCGTTGCATTTTACTAACAAAGGAAATTTGGAAAATATGTGACAAGGACACGAGTACGCAAGTAGAAGTGTTAAGATGTCAAACGACATCATTGACGTATAGACTCACTGCTCGGTCAATATTGAATAGCTTTATGAACAGCTTTGGTAAGTTGAATGCAAAGCCTGTCGATGTCAGCTTTAATACTCCTCCATCTTCCTTCCATACCGATGGTTTATTTGATGCGCCAAAAGTTATGGAAGAAATCTTGCCACTCGACGAACGTAACATTGTTACTGCGACCAAAGGCAGAAAAGAATGGAAATAATTCCTTTGCCATGCAAAATCTGATGATAGATCTATAATTTTCACTTCTGAAGTGTAATCAGAGAAACAAAAGTAGGGAAAATCTGTGTGCAATTTTTAAGGCGCTCTCTACTTAAATCTTGGCGGAATCGAATTCGTGTACATTGACTAGCTAGACTAATTTATAATGGCAATTGAACTGAGTGGAGTGCAATTTGGGCTGCACTCATACATGTGATTTGAAATCACAGGTATGATTTCAGACCAAAATTGCACTCCACTCAGTTCAGTTACCACTTTATTACATCCATTTTGAAATCGCCCAAGTTGTGGTCAATTCAAATATTTTGTTGATGCAGTACTGAGCTAGTTTGAAATTAAATTCATCCAATTTTTGGGGGGGAAAAACAAGAGTTTTGGAAACAAAGGTTGCAAAATTTGTCACATGATACTCTTTGTCTTTCATTTTCCTGCAATTGCATGGGTTACTTTAAGCAAGCCTTGAAATCTGATTGGTTGTTTTTTTTCAGTGTAGCCTCCTCATTGCCTGGGAAAATGATGCGATTTAAAGCAAAAAATGGTGCGATTCGTGAATAAATCGCACCAATTAGAGCCAATCAAATTACAGGGACCTCCAGTGATTTCAAAATGGGTGTAATAAATAACATAAACACCTTCGTCGTTTAAATTTTATCGTTCATTTCCTTATACGAGTCAGTTCCAGAACATTTTTTGGAATCTGATTATCACGTAGCAGTGTTAACGATTTTCGTCATACCTAGAAAAAGCTTCGTGACCTTTCGATTTCGGTTTTGTTCATTTCGGTTGTGTAATCACGGTCAGAAAAAACTCAATGAAACACTTATCTCTAACAAGTGTTTATGGTTGGCTGAATAAGTTTTCAGTTTCTCCCACAGCTTTTCTTCTTAAATCTTGACCCTAGTTCTCCAAACTTGTCTCTTGTAATCCATGTCAGTGTTTTCCAATCTTAAAACCATACTCGACCGTTTTACCTCACGCGGAATTTGTCGTTTGATTTGACATCAGCAAACCGTGACTGAATGACTCAAAATCACCTTGAAGTCACTTGTAAATCCTTTGGGCTGCGTTTCATCGACTGCTTGATCATTCCGTGATGCTACGCTAAATTTGTCATGAACATCTATACGCCCGTCAATTACTTATGTTTCGTCACAATTACAAAGTAACTAATTACTTCACTGTCATTGTACAGTTCAGACTGGTTGATAATAAACTCACTCAGTCTGATCAAATATCAGCGAAATATCTCTGGAAAAATTCAAACAAATCACGAATAGGTAGTTTTTTAAAAGGCAAGAAGGGCATTAATTCTTGCTTTCAAGTTTGGCTGAGGTTTGACTTTCCTCCATCAGGTGATCCTTGAAATAAGTCGTGATATGGCAAGGCCTCTCCGTATTCCATGTACTGAACCAGCGGTGTGTCCGTCAGATGAGAAACTTTACATAATTCACGTTATCATTGAGCCTGGGGAAGATGACCAGGAATGTCGGCTACTCCAACAAGAAGCGGAACAATTGAAGAACTGTTTAATGATTGATCAGCTTCTACCCGAAGGGAATAGGCAAGGAACAGATGGAAAGAAAACTGTATGGAAGAAGCTCTTGATGCTCGAGTTTTCGTCTTATTGTAAGGACAAAATTGGCGAAATATTAGCCAGGAATGTCGAGTACAACGGTTCACAGTACTGCTTTCTAGGATTTTCAAAGTCACAGTTAAAAAAAAAGAAATGCTTTCTCATCGCCGAAAACGACATGCAAATCTATGAAAGAAGAGCAAAGTTTGGCAACTTAAGCAAGGGTGTCTCGTTTGCCGAGCGCGTAGCTAAGGTTCAACATATGTTTGAACCCTACGAATTAAGCTTGGAATTAGCTGCGGGCGAGGTTATCTTCGAAATCGAAGACGGGAATCCTGAAGAAAGTGGTTTTATGGCGCCTGAACTTGCCAAAAAAATCAATGAAATAGCAGCACTCAATCTTGTTAATGTTCCCAGTGTTGTTGAAGTTATTTGTCCAGGATTTGCAGGTAAACTTCTATTGTCTGACGAAATTCTTGCCAGAACGACCGGTGACGAGCATTCCCACTTAAAGGCCCTTTTCAAAACTTCTGCAATAACTAAGGACCACGGCAACGCACTTACACTGTGTATTGTTGACTATTCCAAACCATTTGAGGTTGGCTACCTGGATATTTTTACTGTGATGCTTCTGCATTGCCAAGGTGTAGAAAGTCGATATCTACTGGAACTTCAAAGAGAACATCATAACCTTCTAAAAACACTGGAAACCAATTTGACCTCTGCGAAGTACTTCCTTCGTGTGAAAGGAAGAAAGGAACTTTTAGCCCAAATAGACAACGGAATGACGCTTGAAGCACGGGGAAAGATTTCCGAAATAAAGGAGGAGGAAATTAGAAAAATGCAAGAGTGCAAAGATAGCCCGGAAGAGATGAAAATCCTTGTGAGTGAGTCGCGCGAAGTTTTGGGAGTTGTCGATCCAGATAATCAGCTTCAACCCAACGAGTGTTTCTTTGCTCCTAACTTGGATGGTATGCTGTCCAATGAAAAGGAACGTTTTGAATCGGCAAAACAGGTTCTTGTAATTCCACAACCGTGCTACTCTGTGTCAGATATCCAAAGGTTCAATCTTTGTCGCCGAATTGAAGCCTACGAGAAATTGAAAGACTGCATTATTTTGCCGTCGCAAACCGAAAAGCGATTTGTCTCCAGAAAGTACATTGTTTGCTGGGATAGTGGTCTCGTGTTTCAATTCTGTTCATTCCCCTGGAAATTTTTCAAGATTCCGAATCAAGTTTCAAAGTTTTTCCTCGGCGCCTTTCAATGTTCGAATGTAAAATTGAGTGGTTCCGAATACACAGAAGTCATGGTCGGTGTAGAAGCTGGAACAAGTGAAGGAATAACGCCGCCCATGACTGCTCTTGAGCCGCACGAAGATGCATCGTTTCAGAAGGAGCTGAAGAAGTATTTCGCTGCATTCAAAAGCAGTGATGACTTGATTTTAAGAGCAAAGTCACTTTTCAAAAAGTTTGCACTTCTCGAAGGATCGACGTCATGTTCAGTTTGTAAGCAACTCGGAACGTATTTATCTCCGAGTTTTGACTGGAATGCTAATAGAGAGAAGATCGACAGACATTTGGAAGATCTCGAAAAGAAATGCGATAACCTGCATTCCCAGATGGAGAAAAGCAAAGAATCTGCAGAGGAGGCGTCTACTCAAGATCTGAAAGGACTACGTACAGCCATGATTAAAAATTTGAATGATTTTATTACGGTCACAACCGGAGGGCAGCGTTAAAACGCTGTTTCTTTTCAAACCGTTTAAGTAAGACTCCGTTTTTATCGATAAAAATGTTGTGACAAACCCCATGAGAAGTTTTCGAATACTTTTTAAAGATGCTGCATGCCTGCATAAGCTGCTGCTCTTGTAATAGTCGTTAAGGAAGGCGCTGTAAGAACCATCATGCTTTCCTTTCTTATCCTTGACGTAAGCCAGTTTATTGTACAGGCCTGCAAATGGAATAGAAATGCCTGTTGCTACCAAATTTCCCGATCAGTAAGTACACATTACAGCAGGACATTTTTTTTTTAGGAATATCTAGAATCTATATTCTGTTGAGGTCATAAGCCAGTCAAACTCATCATCGATATCAAAGAAGTAGTAGTACCTACACAATGAGCGCGCATGAATCTCCTTTCCTACAGAATGCAAGTGAACATTTTTAATTCAAGACTACAGACGTTGTTATGGTAATTATGAGTGTAGAAATTAGGCCTCTAGAGAAACAAGTCTGACAATAGCTTTTGGGAGTATGCATTTCGCTCATTTTTGAAGTGTATCATTTTATTTCCTGTCAAAATTGTATCCAACTAACCCTTAAGTTAAGTTTAAGTATTGAAAATTTTGTGAAGATGCTAGTACCAAAGTACTTCGTATTTTTTCTGTACTTTACTTTTTCCTTCTCTCTATAGCGTTATTGCGAAGGCTTGAATGAAGTCATTATGTCAGCTTTCATATCATATCGCAATAAAATGTTGCAATAGCTATATTTTGCGGGTTAATGATTTTGCGCATTTTTTTGCGGGAAGAAATCTTTTTTAATTTTCGATCTCTTTGCGTCTTTTTGTTGTTGTTGTTTATTGTCCAAGAAGTAGAAAATTGAGAATGAAGGACGGGTGATCTTAATTTTCAAGCTCAAACGCTTTCTGTGACAAAATACTGTTATAACATAGCTAGCAGAGCCGCGCAATCAAACTCAGTATACGTAAGCGTGCTCAAAATCCCGATAGTGCACGCTGATAGCGTGAGCAAATGGCTTCGCCAGAAATTTTTTTTTCGCGCGAGCGGCCATTGTTAGCGCGGGGAAAAATTATATATTTCGCGACAATAATGGATACAAACAGAGATTCGGCCCCATTCTTTCCCCTTGGGTTAGATTTCTTAAATGAGGCTGAAAAAAATAAAAAAAAAACGGAAAAGGAGACTCGGCATCAGCGCCGTCACGATTCATGATTACCGCGAACAATCACTTCTGATATTGTTGTCCGTTTTTCGCGTCGGATTTGATGCACAATTCCACCGGCTACGTTATAAAACAATTGGTTCATGCTTTTAGCTGTGCACTATCGAGTTATGGAGCGCGTGGGAAGTTTGGAGAGTACGAAAGAAACGTAAGAGTTGCCCGAGGCAATAGCCGAGGGCAACTCTAGCTTCTTGAGCCAATTGTTAATTAGAGGTATGTAGGCATAAATTACTGGGCTCTTGATAGAAGCGGCGAATTTAAGCAGTTGCAATTGAACTTATCACAATGAGCGCGCCTCCACTAATTATATAACAATATGCGCGTTCGAGGTGTAGTCAGTGATTTCGCGGTCTTTGAACATGTAACTGCTCAGTTTATGTTGAAATATTAAAATAAGCTTTTTTCAACCTAAAATTATCGTTTCAATTTCAGTATTAGAGTGATTTCAGAGAAATATTTTAAATGAGTTAAGTAACTGTCATACCTTGTTGCCTAAAAGTAAACAGAAACAACAACATAATCAAGCGAAAAGCCTGCCCTTATATACCTCCCTTCCATACCGAGTTTTTTGAGAGAGGAATCAGTTTATTAGACTGAAGATAGCAAATGTTTAGAGTTGTATTTTACGTCTAATTTTTTTTTCGATGGAGAAGGGGGTGGGGGGGAGGGACGGGGAAACTTCTTTTAGCGGATAGTTGATGGATAGTCAACTAAATCCACCAAAATAACACAATGCTTAAATTTCCCGCAACAAGGAATCTCCTAACACAGAGAATCTCGATAGTCCATTAAACTGGCCTTTATCTAGCCCAAGCATCTAGAATCGTTTCCTTTAACGGCAGATTCCATTGCGAGAAGGCCGGGCTGAGGGCATGAGATGAAGTATTAATCGGAGACGCCAGTGCTTGTGACAAACCGATTTCCTTCCCCAAGATGGGGAAGGAATCAAAAACTTTCTTCGATTATCTACCATGGAGATTGATGACTGACAACTGTCTTTTTAAGTCGTCACAACGAAGTTTTGCTTATCTTTGGAAGGAATCGCTTAATCATGCAAATCGTAGTGAAGTTGAAGTGAAATCAGTTGAATATGCGAATGTGAAATATTGGACATTCCCTGAAGATAATGAATTATAGTCTATACACACCACAAAAGCAGTTAAACACTTTTAACAAGTTCTGTTCCTTTTCATAATGATAAAGTTTGGACAATTTAAGGAGTAGTATTTTCGTAATCGAACTATGAAATCTGGGATGCAACAAACGTAGCGCTTTTTGCTTTCATCTTATTCCAGACATCATCGCCAGGTAAAAATGGTGGTTTCTTCCATTGCAGAGAGATTAACAAACGATCGAACGTATCAAGACCGCAAGATGAAGAAGGGAGAGGGGTTGATCGCGAACGGTTGGTGAGTCCCTGCATCTCTATCTCGTACGCTTCTTCAAGCTGCCTCAATTGTTTTTTAACTTTATCGTAACAATCGCTCCAGCCAAAGTCTCTGAGAAGAGTCTCCTTGAGCAATTCGCATTCGGTACACGTCGAACCGAATAACGACGCGTACTTAACAAATAGCTCTGAAGCTTTTTGGCGCAAGTTCTCGTATTCTCTAAAATGACTAAAATGTTTCACGAGCGCTTGGTGTGCTTCGTGCTGCTTTTTCCTCGCTTCCGTGTCACTAACAGGCTTCCTCTTCAAACACACGAGACTGTTGGCGACTTCTGACAATTTTCGAGCTATTTTAGAGGATGTACTGGTTATGTGCCCCATGTAAGGACTGCTAACAAATAGCGGTATGAGCCCCTGATCCCAGCACACGAAGTACTTGTCACCGCCTACGCGTCCCCCAGCGCATTCATTGGCATGCGGTCGCGCCCCCCTTGTGGGAAACACGATACAATCGTACAGATCTTTGTAAGCTTCCTTTCCCTGAGTAATCTTCAAAACACGAACATCTCCCGCATGATAAGAGGGCCTCCGCATTACAAGAACAAACTCAGAAAATGAGAAGCCATTTTGCTCCGCTTCGTGGAGCGTCGGTTGGAAGAAACATTCGCCATGCTTCAGCTGACCGTACGGATCGCTCACCCCATAGACCACGCGAGAGTCTGGAATCAAAATTCTAAAATCTTGGACTTCATCACTTGTAGCACTGGGATCCTCTACCAAAGTGTCTGTCGTTGTAACATCACACAGAGGTCCACCCATCTCAGGTACTTTGGAGTTTTTCTCTTGTAACTGATAATTATCGCTTTGCTCTTCGTTTTCGCTGACTATTTTACAAAGTTTCATGTTTTCAATTTCTTTTATCTTCAGATTTTGTAACTCTCGCACAACACTGTGCGATAGTCCTTCTTGCTCAAGGGTTTGTAGCAACTCGTCCTTTCCCGTTATACGCAAGAAGTAACCGGCGTATGTCTTGTCTTCCAACCTCTCTAGCAAATCATGATAGTTTCCCTGAAGTGCCTCCAGATATTCATGTGAGACACCGCCTTCGGCCAACAGCATCATCGTTAGTGTGTCCAAATAGCCCAGTGAGTACGGCTGCGAGAAACCGACGATTCCAAGCGTGTTCCAATCACTCATAACATTTTGATGGGAGGAAAAGTCCAACATGGAATTTCTAAAGAGCGCTTTTACCTTGAGATTTGGCATATCGTTGAAACGAACCAGAGTCCCTCTAAAACCTTTGAATTTAACTTCAATTACGCTTGGTGCGCATGGAAGGTTGCACAGGTTCTGCACATCCTGAGAGAGTTTACACGACATAAGACCACACCCATCCGTGAACACATATGTACCCAATATGCTTGTTACGTCATCGATGACGTCGTATTCCCCTGGTTTTAGTTCCAAACTACGCTGGAAAGGTGAGAAGAGGAGGGATATCTTTTGAGATCGTCTCGCCACCGGAAAGATGTCATTGAAGTTTTCGAATTTTTCCAGCAAACTGTGCAAGTCAGTCAGCGAAGCATTCATCACGTAGCAAGTGCTGTTTCTTAGCTGGGAGCTCGATTGTCCCAAGTAATAATACTGTGAACCGTTACACTCAATTCCCTTCTTAAGAGTCTCGATTATGAAGTTTTTGTCGTTTGAAGAAAAGGTGACCACCATCAGCTGCTCGAGAACTTCAAGACCGCGTGTGCTCACTAAATAGTGCACTAAAAGGGAATTTTCGACCTTCTTGTATGAAGCAAAACATGGTTTCGTTTCTGTTACTTCTACATGCTTGACGTAGAGAGATGTTCCCTCAGCTTGATTTTGAGACAGTTGCGGACTTGCACCATCAGCGAGGGAAACAAAAAAAGGGAACCCCATGATTTGTTTGTTGTTCTACACGGTTTTGTTTTCAAACACCTGTAAAAATATGATAAAATTTAAGCGATACAATCAGTACTGCTGAAGTATGCATCAGGCTCTGTGCCATAAAGATTGAACCGACATCGTTTTGTCATTAAATTTATGCAATCAAAGTAAATTCATTTGAGTTTTCTCCATCTTATAATGATGATGAAAAAGTAGTGCTAACGACGACAACAATGATGATGAGCTTATATGGCAGGACAATGATCACATTGGTTCAGATGTTATTTACTAAAATTTGTTTTTACAAAGAAATACTTGTAAGAAAGATCTCAGATATATGTTACAATGTAAACAAATCCTCATTAACAACGAGGATATCAACTTTACTTCAAAAGTGTTAATCGAATTTCGGTCATACTGGATATTTTCTCCATCGGCAGCTGCCAATGGTAGCAGGTATATAAACCATGAAGATTAATTATAAATAAAATGAAGGAGAGGCCGAGTTTCCAGAGGCAATATTAAAGGAAATGCGTAAGCTGAATGTAAGTATTTCATTGCCTATTTTCTCCATGTTAGAATGAAAACTATATTAACCCCTCTACAACGTAAAATCTCTAGTCGTTGAAACTTGGTTTTATGTGGTAAGCAACTTCATGTTAGTGACATTCACACTTACCTTGAAATAAATCCCTGCAAAGGCACACACCTATAAAGCTTTTGTTTCTTAGAGATTGGCAGATTTTGCCCACATTATTTCATAGTAAAAAATTTGAGGAAACAGTTTCGGCAACTGTACACACAAGTGCTTTCTTTGAATTCGTAGCGAACTAAAATTGGAAGTAGTTAAGGGTATATAAAACAGTTTCACTCCGTCGTGTGAGCTTGGTCTTGGACAAAAGCTTGATGTGTTCAACTGCTTTCAGAGTGAAGCTTTCTCCTTGATTTGAGGAACACTTTTTGACTCTCTGTGTTATGGCTTTCTGCCTTAAATATATTCGATATAATTTCCAATAAACATGTCGATACAGCATTTGAATTTTAATAAGTCTCTTCAACAGGTATGCAATTGTAGATAATACGTTTGTTTTGATTTAGATCAGTTTGCACCATTAATATTTAAGTGCACACAAAATCTCGCATTCGTTTATGACAAAAACATTAATTCAGCTTTTTCTAACATAGCCATTGGAAACAGTTCATACGACATGCACAGCTGGTACTCGGTAATCCTATGCACTTTGTTTATAAAATTTTCTACTGTACTTTTTGCATTTCCTAGAAATTCGCAGCCAGCTTTCACGACTCAGTCATCTCAGTTGTGTAAACCTCTTTTCCAGGATCCTCTTTCGAGAACCGTGAGAACGAGGCTAGAGTGGCCTAATACTTTGGCTTAAGTCCTTTAAGATTCTCCACTTCCGGTACCTTTCCACTTCCAGCTAAATTAAAACAACAGCATATGACAAGCTCACGAAAATATATAGTCTTTTAGTCAGAAAAAGTTACCATGAAGGATTCGTTGAAATTGTTAGAGAAAGTCATGTTTGTGAATGCTTCATGCTTCTTCTTAAACAACGTTTTTTTTTGCCATGTCATTTTCATTGTTTTGGAAACTGAAAGGCTTTTGTTTTTAGAATCACGTGTTTTGAATAGAAGTTCTATTTCAGTTTTTCTCAGAACGGTTTAAGGTCAAGTAGGTCAAGTGAACCTTAAGGAACTGAATAATAACAGTATATGATTCGTATCAACTGAATCAGCTCAGGTTACACGCAGAATTAATCAGTTCCAAAGTTGTTAACGTATATTCCTGTTGAAGCTTTTTGCTGGCTTTGGAGGCGGTTAAGTTGGTGTTTCACAAACGAAAAACGACTCACGGAAATTGGAAATCGTGATGTTTCTGGCTTATCTTTTAATCCGGGTTTTGTTCGTGTATGCAGTGACGCAGTTTGTCAGTAAGTGGGTTCTCGTCAATGCGCTAGTTTGGCAGATACATTTGTTGCATTTAAGTTACGAGAAATGTATTGAGAGGTGTTACATACAGTACATTCAAACACCCCCTTAATGACGGGGTAACGACTGAAAAGCCAGTAGACTGTGCTAACGTCACCTGACAATGACTGTTGCTCGTGACATGGACAAAGAGTCTTTGTTTATGGAATGAAAACACAAAGATTTTTTTTACTTTGCAGGTTTCTGAAACTAAATTTAGGTTCACAGTTTCTTTTTTGTGTGTGTGTATTCACCCATGTGTTTATTTTTCGATTTTTGAAATTCTGCACATTAAGCTCTCAATCTTGTTACGGTTGTCTCCAAATATTTCGTGGAACGTGTACAGTCTGTTATTTTTTCGTTTGTTAACAATGCATCTCGTACACTTTCGTCTACAAATGAACTATTTGACTAATTTACGAGTTGTTTTGATGATATCTGAAGGAAGTAGAGTACGTGTTAGTTTTGGATCGGACTTTTAACATGCTGGTATTCTTTTAGACACGAACAAAAGAAGTTAATTTCATGCAAAGGACAAAGTCCTACTCTTTACTTTAGACTTAACATTAACATATAAAGATTAAGGTTGATCATGAAGTTGACTGTAGGTTATTTGCAACGTATAATCAATAACAAGATAGAATTTCATTTCAGGCCTATTTATCAATTTTGTGGTGTATAACTTTCGAATTTTAGTACGTAATATGTATTTTGAATCTTCAAATTGTCTTGAAACTTGAAAGAAAATTGTTCTTTAAAAATTCACTGAACTGTAGCTAAAATTGTTTGTTTAGGTATTATTTGATTTTCGTGTTAACTTATAATTTCGTTAGTCGCCGGCATCTTCTGTTGCTTCACACAGGAAAAACACATGATACGAAACGTAATGATCGATTTTGTCCTCAATCTCACGCCGTAACAGAAAAAGCTTTTGAACATCTGTAAACTCCGAGCGCTTCGCAGTAAGTAACATTTTCAATGAATCTTCGGATTGTTTTCAAGTGCAAGGACTGTAAATTACAATTTTATGAAAAACGAAGATTGTTCTGTTATTTCAGTGTGAATACTTGCATGCCTGCCAGTCGCTGGCGCCGCTTGTTGAAACTAAAACGAAAAAAAAAACTCTTTTAAGATTATCATTGGCTTCTTTGTCACCCCACCACTATTCTTAGCAACAAAGGTTGCCATTTCGTTTGTTTATTGCTCGCCAAAAACTATCAAATGCACTCAAAAGCCTAAAATCGAAAAAAAGTTTACAGGAATCGACCAATCGAGCGAGCGAGCGAGCGAGCGAGTGGTATTCCCCACATCGTATCTACAACTCGCTCTTGCGCATGCGCGCAATTCACGAGTTAAAAAGGACCTGATACTCAGCCTGCTATGTTCCCTTGCTAACCATTGCAGAAACGTAGCTAGTATTTCAGAAGTATTCCTTATATTGAAACTATGCACAATCACTTTTAGGCTCAGCAAACGCCCGAAATCCAAATAGATGCGACTCTTCACTGCAACAAAGTAACAACAAAGTTATTGTGAGCTGGTTTATCAACATCAGGGCTTTTACCCCTGATCCTTATACAGATTTATGTTTTGGAAAGGCCTCTAAAGGAAACCCCTTTTCGATCTTGTGCTGGAACAAAGCTGCAAACTCCATTACGTTTTCTAACCACAGTGATACGTTGTCGTCCTGTGACTGGTGTAAGACCTTCGTTACAAATCCGCAAGCACTAGAGCAGCCTGATGGTTCTGTCCGGGTGTCCGTGGAGGTGGCCCTGGAAGGAAATTTTGGCCAGTTGGTATATTGGTATATAGTTTGGGACGGCGAACACAACAGGTTAATCAATGAAATGCTCTTCTGCATCTATAGAGTAGGTATGATGTCATTGAAAAATTGATTCCGTGTTGCGGTGTGCTGTTCTGTAACACATCACAGATCATGTTAAAATGTGGTACTGCGCACTTTGTTGTATGTTATGGTAAAATGTATTTCATTTTGGATTTCGTTTCCATTATTCAGCCAATACCCCATTAAAAATGACAACGAGGGTGTAAGGTGTCAACTATGCTTGCCGCAGATTGCAGGCTGTTCTCATCTTCTGACTCATCAATCTTTAACCTTTGGTTATTTGGTTGTTTATTCCACAGAAAGCTTTAACTGTGGCAAGAAACCACCTCTTCCTAGGATAGTTCGCGGAACAAACACCATCCCAGGGGAGTGGCCTTGGCACGTGTCTCTAAAAAAACAGGGACACTTTTGCGGTGGCTCAGTGATCAGCCCGCGATGGATCGTGACAGCGGCTCACTGCTTTGACGGAAAGGATCCAAAAGATGTCAGCATTGTTGCAGGTGAGACTAATCTCCTTTCAGGTTTTAGAGTAGTTTTCCCCTGACTAAGTAATGCAGTATTGGGTCGGTTTTTCTTTAGTTCGTTCTATGATTGATCTACAAAAATCGAGCCACCTTCTCGACCAATTAGATGCAAAACTGCTCCAGACAGTTTGCTTGCTTTAACCTTTACACCGTAACAACGGTATGCATGCACATCTCCTATACTTTCCTTTATACATTTCCTAAAGAGCTGTCAAGGAGAATTTCTTTAACAATCAAGAGCTTTTATAGTTGATGATTATTTTCTGTATTCTTGTGATCTCAATGCTTGATTCAGGGGTGATATTGTATGGAGAAATTTAATGCTAGTCACTTTTAGTGGTTAATTATGAGGCTTAAGTTAAATTGAGTTACCATTGGCTCCTTGTGCCGTCAACCATCCTTCTGATTGGCTATTGTGATTTCCGTTACTTTTGATTTTGGGTTTACATACGTTTTACTATTGCCGTCACGGATAGCTGAAATGAATCTATTTATGATGTAGGCAATTACCTAAACAAGCCCGTTTGACATGTTTTCTGCTGCTTCCAATTGAAAACAGGAAAATATCACCTTTCAAGAACAGACGGTTTCGAGCAAGAACTTCGCATCAAAAGGCTTTTCAAACATCCTCGATATAACGTGACCTGTAAGCTCAACTACGATGTGGCACTAC